ACACTGTCATGGTCCAAACAGACTAGTGAAAGAGCCTCTGAATAGACTGCTCCAGGCGCTCTTGTCCCCCTACAGGTCATTCTCTATATTTTAATCAGTTCATTTCTAAACGTATACATCAGATCATCTCCCTCTGTCCTGAAAATCACAAAGAGCTTCCCAATGCTTTCAGGAGGGTGTCTTGGATAATCCGCTGTAATCTCAGCACCACCCTCTCCCTTCTATGCTATTTGTCGATTTCCAGGGGCTTGTGGCCTGGAAACTACATGTCCATAGGCTTCCGGTTTACCATACACACTTGCCCCAGAGCTGGAAAGTGAAAGAGAAAGAGAAGACACACTACTGCTTGGCAGTTGTGGGTGAGTATATGGATGGCTGGAATGGGGTTTGGCTGGCAGGTTTCAGGATCTCATAAAAATTCGGGGCAGTCTGGCCTCACAGAGAAAGGATGTAATTCAAGAACCGGAAGTCTCCAAAGCAGTTTTAGGAACGAATTATCTCGATTGTCCTCAACGGCAGTGATCTGATCCTCAGACGTTACGGTCGACTCACCTCTTCTCTGGAATTACCAAGTGTGAAGCTTCTGACCAGTCATCATACTCTCTATGCTTTGTTTTTGGTTGGCTTTGGTTCTGCTTACTCACAGCTCATTTTCTTATGTCATGTCAGCTTTTGCTTTCACTATCATCTTATCCCCTTCCCATAGTTCTCCGTTTGTGTTCTCGAAAAGAGACACTGGTTAGCCCAGGTAATCGCTCTCATCTCTGTTTGAGCAGACTTAGTAATAACTCTCTAAAACTTCCTTTCTTTATCTGTAAACTGGGGATACTATCCTTACCTATCTTGCAGAGCTGTTCTGAGAATCTGAATAGATAACGTATGTGTAGCACCTGACAGTGAATGCTCACCTCATGTTAATTCCTTCCATGGACTCAAGTCCATGCAGAGTGCCTTTCTCTGGATTAGCAGCATTGCAGGTACTTAACATGTATTTGCTGCATGTTAATAAAAACTGTGTGTGTGTGGAGAGAGAGAGAGAAAGAAAGGGAGAAACATTTACTTAATATATAGCCAGTTATTTGAAATTGGATATTCAGAAAAAGAATACAGACGCAAAATAAAAACTTGGAGCAAATGCTTTGTTGAGTATTTTGTCTCTCTTCAAATATCTGCTATTTTATGATACTCTCAAGCTTAAGATGGTCTCAGCTTTCCATTCCTGGGTTTCATACCAAGTTCTACCAAAACAATGAAATAAATCTTTCATACACTTATCTGGAAGGCCCCCCTTTCATTCCCTCCCCTCATGTCTATTCTCTGGCCCACCATGTCCCACTTATTCCAATGCTGATTTTGACAAAAGCAAACACGAAAGCTACACACGCTCTGCATCAACATTTCATGAAGAGGCCACATAGAATTTGCTCGAGGGAGAAAATACAAATGTTTTTTGAATCCATCTAACTTGCTTGTTTGTATCTATCTATCTATATTTATGACATAAATATTCATAGACATTCTGGCTATGACCGGTTTCGAAATCCAGACTTATCTGAAATAAAACCAAACAAAGAATACCCCAAGTGCTTGAGCTATGTTACAGGGAAAACAACAGTACAGGCTAAAAATCAGACCTGGGTTTGAGTCCTGCCTTTGCTCCATATTAGGAAACAGTCAGGCATTTCTAAGCTTGGAGGAAGCATAATGAAACAGATGAGAAATGTACGTTAAAATGCTGCAGGAAACCAGAACTGATTTTACTGTACTTGTCTGCATGCTTTGGAGGGGTCCCAATGACACACGTGCCCAGGAAATGTGGGATACGTGTGTGTGGCAATGGCACCCACAGGCTCAGTCTGAAGGAGGAGGGCAGAAGAAAAGAGCCCAAAGGACCAGAGCCTACGAGCTGGAGCATGTGTGGCCAGAGGGAGGAGGTCTGGCCTGAGACCCAATGTAGGGCTCTTTCTCTTAAGCAAAGGAGCACGCAGTTTTCTGTCCCATGCCCAGGATCTAATTATGGCATTGCAGGTAGACTAGCTGCTAGGCTAAGGTGGGAGGCAGTCGTCTTGAACGTAGGTAATTACCTGGTTTTAATACTTTAAATACTTTTCTCTGTTTAATAAATTATATGTAGAATATCAGAAGCCTGATGGAGATACATAACGATCTGCTACTATAGTCCTCCTTCCAGAAAATAGGAAAAAGAAAGGTATTTCATGGCATTCATGGTATTTCATGGTATTTCATTTCATGGCATAGTATATATGCTAACCACTAAATGGACCAGTAAGAGGTAAAGAAGGAATATTTATAGTATGGGAATTTCTTTGCTTCCCAGGAGTTGGCTGGAGGGTAACTGGAAGGCTGGAAGTTACCTGGGGGGTAACTTATCCTTGGAAGCATTAACCAACTGTGAGAACCTGCTGATGTCAGGGCAGAGAGAGACAGGAAGCTACCGAAAGCTTGAGTTTACCAGCCACATCTGAAATAATTACTGCTTTCTGTAAGAGAAGAAGACATTCACAACCTCAGGCCTGGCTTGAAAACAGGTAGAGTATGTGTCAGATTTGGGGATCTGGGGCTACTTTTTGCCAATGTCAACCTTTTAAAATGTTGCTTGTTGTTTGTACTGAGCATATGCTAGGTGGTAACGATTCATACATAAGTTATTTAATAACCCCTTGAGCTATGTCCCATTAGCCCCTACTTTATAGATGAAAGAAACTGTAGGATTTTATCATTCTGCTAATTGTATTTTGGGCAATGGGTTAAAAATTAATTCATCATCACTTTAGTATGTATGGTCTTGTATTGCCCTGGTTGTTTACGTGATGATCTCGCCCCCTAAACATAACTACTGGCTCCTTAAGGAAGGTCAGCACAGGCCTCAGGAGACCATAACCAGGCTCAGATGCGCCACTGTCCACTGAATGGCTGTGCAGCTTTGAGTAAATTGCTTACCCTCACTGGGCTGTGTTTGTAAAGCTAGGGAATTGAAGCAGAGCCTCAGCAAAGTTCCTCCCCACTCTGTGCTCCATGGTATCACAAAGGGGACAATCACTCTTGCTCAAGTTTACTCTTTTTCACAGCTCTGAGCTTAGAGGACTCTCGTACGACAGCTCTTGAACTGTTAAGGAAATCTACCATGCTCGTATGCTTCCATATCCTGGTGCTTACAAACCTCAGCCTTTGCTTCTATAAAGAATTCCCCCCAGGGTGCCTGGGTGGCTCAGTCAGTTAAGCGTCCGACTCTTATTTCGGCTCAGGTCATGATCTCAGGGTCATGAGGTCGAGCCCCGTGTCGGGTTCCACACTGGGTGTGGAGCCTGCTTAAGATTCTCTCTCTTCCTCTCCCTCTGCCCCTGCCCCCACCCCTCTCTCTTTCTTAAATAAATAAAATAAATAAAATAAAAATTTTAAAGTTTTTTAAAAATTAAAAAAAAAAAGTCCCCGTTGAAAGTGAAATTTGACAGAAGACTATGATCATTAGAGACAATCATCACCAAGCATGACCAAGTGACAGCTCCCAGTCACAGCACTGCCTGGCCCATATTTCATTTTAATCTTGGACTAATCCTGTGCAGGATAATTAGTATTCCCATTTTACAGGTGAGAAAACACGCTGCTTTGCTGGGAAATGTATTAGACCTTTATTAGACTTTCATTTGCTACTCCTGGAGGAAAGTGGTGTAGATTTCCCAGGATAAGTCAAAAGTTACTTACTATAAGTAATAAATGCTGTTAGGAATCCAGCATTCAAATTAATACAACAAACAACACACAATCCTTACATACATGTTTTAATCAGAGTTCAAGATAGCCTGCACGTATTAAAGGACATTCCTGATTTGTGAAGCTAAGCAGCTATTCTTCTAGCTGTTTTCATCATAATGGCACAAGGGCTCTGGGGTCATACTACAAGGTGCATATACTGTCATCTCCATGCTATTATCGTATTTACATGCAAAGAATTCTAGTTTTCCTAGGGAAGAATCACTTTTGCAGGGTCAAGACTTTAGGGGAAAAACCGATTGACAGTTCCTCCTTGTCCTCAGAAGCAGGGCTTGGCTATGCGTGCACGCTGATTGGGAAGCTTTATCTCTAGAAGGCCAAATGGGGGGCCAGGGAGGTGATGTGGGGATGGCAGGCAAGGACTGGGAGAGGGATGGGGTCAGAAGTACAGAGAGGGCAGGCCTCACCATCCTCTGGTTATAGGGTTTGAGGCCTGTAAAGGACAGCATTGACTGACTAGAGGGATTACAGGTCCAAGAAAAGTAGGGTACCCTACAGCATGTTGAAAAACTTGCTCTCAACAGCTGATCCAATACAGTAGCCACCAGACACAGGTGGCTATTTCCATTTAAATTACTAAAATTAAATAAAATTTAAAATTCAGTTCTTCTGTCAACATGTCCTGTGGCTAGCAGCTAAGGTCTTGGAAAGCACAGATTCATTTCCATAATTGCAGGCAAATTCTATTACACAGCATTGCTTTAGAATCTAGATTATACGAGAAATCAACACTGAAAACTCTTGAAGCTCAATTATTACCAGGGAAGTATATATTACATAGTGGTTAAGAGCACAACAACCCTGTACCCAAACTTTCTACGCTCAAATCCTGGGTCCAAGCTTTGCTAGCTACATGACTTTGGGCAAGGGACTAAGCACTCCATGCCTTAATTTCCTCACCTATAAAATGGGGATGATAGTCATGCAACTTTCACAAGGTGGTTGTGAAGATTAACTGGGTGAATGTCTGCCAGGCACTTATAACAGTTTCCAACACATAGTAAGTGCTGTGTAAGTGTTAGCCTTGTTACTAGTTTCACAGTAAAACATAACTTCTATCATGTTGTACCTATTACTGGGAAGAGAGGCACACTGATTCGCACAATCCTTTCCATATCCCCCTTCCCCGTGAGCCAAATCTTCCTGGGATAGGCTCAAACACTCTCTTGTCAGTATGCCTAAGACCAGGGGTGCACTCTGTTCCTTACTTGTACAACAGGATGTCGGCTGCCTGGAGCACCGGGTACGTGAGCAGGCCCACGGTCCCGCCATGCTTCTGCGTGGCAATCTTCACCTGTCCAGTGAAAAGAAAGGAGGCAAAGAAATCAGACGTGAACCTAATGATACCGCTAAATTAAGCAATCTTTAAAGCAAGCCAAGGGTAGTCTGAAGCTACTGTACTACCATTATATCTCAGTTCCTTTTAGCAACACTAAAAGCCAGGGGGCTGCCTTGGCTCCCTGCTGCAGGCTCAGGCAGGAATAAGGCAAATCCGCTTCACCACAGCCCCCATATTGGATCCCGCACTGCCACTATTTCGGGTGCATTTAATTAAAGCCAGGGGAGAAGAGTCTCTAGGTTCCAAATCAGATAAACTCCATTATTAATTAATTTGACAAGTTAACATCAAAAGCCATATTGTTATATCCGCGGAAACTTCCCAGAAAGTCCCCCACTGTGCTACTGACAAAAAATAATGTAATGGCGCCCCCAAATCACACTTAAAAAACCAAAACACCAAAAGTCACGGCATTTAAAAAATGAAACGAAGAGAAATTTTAATCGAACCAATTATGAACCTGTCTTGACCTGTAGGTACTGACAACAGAGGGATAAAGCGATTCCAGTGAACAGGACAAGCCGTAGAGGCTAAAATATTTCCTTAATGGGGAAGCTGATAGTAACACCAGAGGTGATACTAGAAGGATTTAATTAATGGATGCCAACTATAAGCTACGAGTATGTACCCACTCAACAGAAGCCCCTCATGATGCCAATTCCCTGCTACAGCTGAGCATTGCTAACAGGTACTTCGGCTCTCTGGGTAGAACTACCAACTGGGGAAGACTGTGTGATGTTTACTGGTCATTGCTTCCAAGGCCTAAGCCTATCATCTCTTGTAAAATGATAAATGGTGATTTTGGTGTGTAGATATTATTCATTTAGTTAATATGAATCACCTCCCTGAGGCCTGATTATTTCTAAATGAACTGAATTGAATATATAAACTTGCATGATTCTGAGGACCAAGTTCATGGGCTCCTAGCTCGGGCTGCCCCAGCCAACACACCCTTTGAGTCTGGCTCTGAAAAGCATCAGCTTCTCTCTTTATCCATCTTAATGTCAATGTTCCATCATTTAGGTATAAATTTAACTCTTCTGGTTACTTCAAGTAGTTTCTGGCTTCTAGCAACGAATGCTAAAGGAAATTTAGAAGTTTGAATATATAATTCCTTCAGCACATCTCTTTATTGCAGTGTCCATGATAAAGCCCAGTTTGCAACGATCGCAGGATAAAGATAATAAAAGTTTAATTTGGCAATGAGCAAATGGGAAAAGAACTCAATTTTTAAAAATTGCTACTGCATTAGATTTATAGTCTTTTTTTTTCTCCCCCACCCCCCTCTTCTCTAGAACCTTCAGTTTGTTTTTCAGAGTCCATCATCTCTCATGGTTCGTCTCCCCCTCCAATTTCCCCCGCTTCATTCTTCCCCTCCTGCTATCTTCTTCTTTTTTTTCTAAACATATAATGTATTATTTGTTTCAGAGGTACAGATCTGAGATTCAACAGTCTTACACAATTCACAGCACTCACCATAGCACATACCCTCTGCAATGTCTATTACCCAGCCACCCCATCCCTCCCACCCCAACTCCCACTCCAGCAACCTTCAGTTTGTTTCCTGAGATTAAGAATTCCTCATATCAGTGAGGTCATATGATACATGTCTTTCTGTTTGACTTATTTCGCTCAGCATAATACCCTCCAGCTCCATCCACGTCGTTGCAAATGGCAAGATTTCATTCCTTTTGATGGCTACATAATATTCCATTGTGTGTGTGTGTGTGTGTGTATATCTATATCTATATCTATATCTATATATATATATATACCACTTCTTCTTTATCCATTCATCTGTCGATGGACATCTTGGCTCTTTCCACAATTTGGCTATTGTGGACATTGCTGCCATAAACATCGGGGTGCATGTACCCCTTTGGATCCCTACATTTGTATCTTTGGGGTAAATATCCAGTAGTGCAATTGTGGGATCGTATGGTAGTTCTATTTTCAACTTTTTGAGGAACCTCCATACTGTTTTCCAGAGTGGCTACACCAGCTTGCATTCCCACCAACAGTGTAGGAGGGTTCCCAGAGATTTATAGTCTTTTTATATTAGAATACTGGGTCTTGAAATTACAAAGGAAGAGGGGAGATGTGGAGAGCATTAATATTTATTGAGTGCCTATTATGTGCCCCAGATGCCTCCCATCTGTGTTACCCCCTATGGAATCCTGACCCCACCTTTCTACCCTACTATTCCCCCCAGTCAAAACCAAGCTAGGTGCTCTTAGATCCTCCTCAAGTACTGGGACCCCTCCCTCTGATCACTTTTCACACTTCTTGACTGCTTGTGCAACTGTCTCTGCCCAAAGAGACTACAAGCCTCATGAAAGTGGGTGCGTCCGTCTGTCCTGTTGACTGCTGTACCTCCAGCCCCTCGTGTGGTATGAGAGTTGCAGAAGGCACCGCCAGTATTTGCTAAGGAAGGAATGACCTGAGAAGGCAGTAACATGCTCTAGGATAAGGCTGGCATTTGAAATCCACGTTTTTTCCCACAAATAAAATATCACAGTGGGTGCCTGGTGGCTCAGTCAGTTGAGCGACCCACTCCTGGTTTCAGCTCAGGTCATGATCTCAGGATGTGAGATGGAGCCCTGCTTTGCCTCTGTGCTCAGTGGGGAGTCTGCTTCTCTGTCTCTCCAGTCCCTCTGCCCCTCCCCTGCTCACACTCTTTCTCTCTCTCTAAAAAAAATAAATAGTCCTTTAAAAAAAAAAAAAAATCACAGCCTGGTGGGAAGGCTTCTCCAGAATATAGGTTTCCCCTGCTACCTGAAACTTCTCATTTTGCCACTTTGCTTTTCCGAAAGACATGTATTAGTGCCTGCTTTCAGTAACTGAAAGAAACCAGAAGAGGATTTTCGCCTTTATGAAATGGTACTTGTTTCTTGGCTCTGCTCCATTTTGGTTTATGAACGGTTTCATTGGGATGCTCTAGTTTTGAATAGTGGGGGAAACCTGAGTTAGTGCATTCTCTAGTCATGTGTTATCAGTAGGTCCTCAGACACGATTTTAAAGTGGGAACATTTCCCATTAAATTAGTATTCAGTTCTGAAAAGGATCTCAGTATTCAACTTAGAGTATTTTGATAAAATGAGAAAGTCTTGGCTGAAACCAAAATATGGTAGAGAACATTACAAAATTTTGTTTCTAATCCCTGGCAGGTAATGATTCTGCAGCATTACCACTTAACCTCTTATTTCGGCACGGTCACTTTAGAAGCTCTGTTTCTCTCTGCGACGGATCTGGAGGTTTCTGAACCAGCTTTTGAAGAAACCAACGGCCCTAAAAATATGCTGGAAAGAAGCTTGAAACTGAAATTTAGTGTTGACGCACTTGGGGGCTACCTACCCTCAGGTTATCCAATTGCAAAAATAAATGGAAATGAAGTACTATGAATTATCCAATTTATCTTTCTCAGTTGAACTTCCTAGAAAAAGTACAACCTCAATTTTGCTGTGGGTTTGAACTGTTGCCTGGACTCAACTTGTTTAAATGTTAAATAAAATACGTTGTTCCTTCTCCGCACACTGAAAACATTCCAGACTTACTGCTGGCTAATTACATGGCGATGGCAGGCAACTTTGGGGTCCAGTAATCCAGAAATTGCAATTGTTTGTTAATTATAATGTGGTAGGTCCAAAGTCATTACCAAATCTATCCAAAGATCACTCTGATTCGACCTACAGGTAAAATCAAACAGTTAATAATGTGGATATTTTTACCCTGTTTTTAAGTTGGAATCCTGGAGAACCCTCTTACTTTCCATTTAATAAGATGCTGTTCGGGCCACTAGTGAGTAACAGACCAGGGAGGCCACTAAACTCAGGATTCCCAGAGCAGAACACAAAAATAAACAGGGGAAGAAAAAAATAGTCATAGCGGGGACTTTGAACTCCTTTTTGTTTATTAATCAGATCACTGGCATTTACCTTCCACTGGTGTAAATGCTGTAACCGGGGTAATCTGACCATGCAGGTGAGCATCCAACTTAATTGTGTGTGTTCAGACACCTAAAGAAATAAAACAGGACATTAGTGAAGGCAGTCAATGGTTTCTTGCAAATAAGGCAAAACTAAACAGACAACAGGTATTACCTCAAGTGGCTGGAAATACCCCAAATCAAGGTAATTTAAAAAATGACAGGCAAAGGGGACTGATTCATAATGCATGGGATTTTAGATGAAGAAGAAAAATTTAAAACTACAATTATTCTAGTGCTGAAATCTTCTTCACAACATCCCTAGCAAGTGGCTGAGCAGACTCTGCTTCAACACCTTCAGGGAGAGGGTCTCATTGTGCCCTGAGGCATCTATTCCAGCTTTAAAAAGCTAAGGTAATTAACACACACACACACACACACATTCAAATCCTCTCTAAATAACGTCTAAATATATGAAAGCCACTCTAATACCTTACATGTATATAGTACAGAAAGGTACTGGCCTTAAAATTAATGATTGAATCTTTTAGACCTGCAGTAATTTCAAATTTAAGAATCACTTTATCATCCCAAAGGGTAGTGTTTTTTTTACAGTTTCAATTCTTCTCTTTCTTTTTTTCTTTCTTCCTCATCTCCCCCTCCTCTTCCTCCTCAACTTCTTCCTCCTCCTCCTTCTTCCTCTTCTTCTTTTTAAAAAAGAGGTTTAGTCAACAAGAAAATATAACCTTTTCTCAATTTGTTTTAACCAAATTTAATCAAGTAAGCAAACCTGGCAACAGATGGGATATTCTTGGGTCCAGGCCAGGTTCGAACTGATGACCTAGAACTTAAGGCCTATGTATCCGTTTCTGGACTCTGGGGATCCTGAGCCCTTCATCCATTGTGGCTTTTTTGTGTGTGTGTCCATATGATTTCCTTAAAACGCAGAGACTGTTGCCAACTCTGAAAAGTGGCCCCAAATGTGTTCTTTGTGGGTTTTGCAAAGGGAACAGAAAGGGATGGAGCCGAGTCAGCCCAGGCCTATTTTACTAGCAAGGAATCACCATCTGGTGTAAGATAATTTCTCATTTTTTTCCTTAAGTCGTGGAGAGAGAAGAGTTGTTTTTCACATGTTTGACAAGGAATTGTTTTTAAAATTTTGCAAGTTGCTGGGCTGAATCCGTCTTCTTTCTTCCAAGAGGCATTTGGGTTTCATTCAGAGCAGCGCTGTCCATACAAATTGCTAACTTGTGCTATAAACAAACAGCTATCAGACAAAAACAGTTACCCTGGATGGAAGCAAGAGGATTATGGTTGCTTCCAATCATCAAGCAAAACACATTCCCATTAGAACTAATAAAACAAGAGTTGTTTTTTTGGCATGAAGAAGTAGGAGAAATTTTTTTCTTCTTTACTGAATTAGGGAAAGGAATGAAAATACAGAAAACAACCATGCATATGTGGAAGGAGACAAGATGACTCCTTCCCTTCGACTCAGGCTTAAGTACTCAGTTTTGGTGATATGCAAGAAGCTACCATGATGTCTTCATGAAATCAAGTATTTTCCTCAGAGTAGCTTTTTATTTGAACATATAGAATGAAACTTATTTAATATTCTGTAGAGATCTTCCTGGTATTTCCAAATAAGGGGGCATAAAATTAATCTAAATTATTCTTATACAGAAAAAGGCAGGAAAAAGGCAAAGGCGATTTTCATAATCTATCATTAATAATTATATAAGAAGGGGGGGGCGCCTGGGTGGCTCAGTCATTAAGCGTCTGCCTTCGGCTCAGGTCATGATCCCAGAGTCCTGGGATCGAGCCCCGCATCGGGCTCCCTGCTCGGTGGGAAGCCTGCTTCTCCCTCTCCCACTCCCCCTGCTTGTGTTCCCTCTCTCGCTGTACCTCTCTTTGTCAAATAAATAAATAAAATCTTTAAAAAAAATAATAATTATATAAGAAGGGGTAGTATAGTTCAGGATTTGGCTCTCTTAATTTATCCATATTCATGACAACTGCTCAGAAAGGTTCAGATTTCTATCCGGGGAAAAGTGAAAATGGTACAGTAATTCTGACTACATGTTGCAAAACAAATAAAAATAACCATATGATCTGTTTTAGCCATGGGCGGGGGGAAAAAAAAACATGGAACACAGAAGGTGGCTTGTTGACCACCCACAAACAAGTCAGCAGTGACAGAAGATTCTGACTCCCTAACTGTACCAAGTAAAGACATACACATCCTTCAGCTGCAGGCAGCTTTGCCTGGTTGGTTCACTGCTGTCAAACAATCTGGCACACTGTGCTCAATAAATATTTACTGAATGTATGAACAATATCAAAGGCTGCAGGAAGAAAGGTAAGGACCAAAAAAGAACCCATTCGATTTAGCAACAGACATTTTTTTTAAAAAGATTTTATTTATTTATTTGAGAGAGAGAGCTCAAATGGGGGGGGGTGGAGGTGGGGAGGGACAGAGGAAGAGGGAGCAGCAGACTCCCCGCTGAGCAGGGAGCCTGATGCAGGGCTCAATCTCAGGACCCCAGGATCACAACCTGAGCTGAAGGCAGACACTTAACTGACTGAGCCACACCTAGGCGCCCCTAGCAACAGACTTATTGGTGATCCAGGCAAAGCAGAGTCAGGGGAGTGACTGGGAGAGAAGCTAAATTATAGAGGGGTGGGCTGAAGTGTGACAGGATACGAAGACAGATACACAAGAAGTAGAGCAGAGCATCTCAGAGCTCTGCCTTTGGAATGAGGCTGCCTGGATCTGACTGCTAACTCTGCCAGCTATGAGCTGGGTGACCCTGTAAAGCGGCTTCACGCTGTGCCCCAGTTTTCTCATTTATAACATGAAGTTAACAATAGTAACCACCTGTCAGTGCTTAGAACAGTACCTAGCCCACAGCAAGAACTCAATAAATGGTGGTTATTATTACAGATAACTTTTAGAAAGGTTTCTGTTTTAACTTCCTATTTTGAGATAATTGTAGATTCATGCATAGCTGTAAGAAATAATACAGTGCAACCCAATATACCTTCACCTAGTTTCCCCCAATGGCAACATCTTGCATAACTATACTATACTATATATCACATATATATACTATACTATATATATCTATACTATACTATACTATAATATCACAACCAGGAAATTGAATTGGATACAATCCATCTGCCCTAGTTAGATTTCACCAGTATTGCATGCATTCATTGTGTGGGTATATTTAGTTCCATGCAATTTTATCAAATATGTAAGATATTTCTTTTTTCAGGAAGGAGAGAGATGGGAATAGCTAGCATGGGTTAGAGAATAAAAAAAATTATTATTATTTTTTTAAGGTGGGATAGACCTACTTTCTATAAAATGTCTTCCACTGAAGCAGGGGGAGGGGAATTAAATACAGACGAGGATCTATCTTATGAGATAGGAGTGGAGAGCAGAAAGTTAGAGAACTTCACATCTAATTAGTTAGGTTTTGTTATCTCTGAAAATAGAGCAGATGGGTGAGTAGGAACAAATGGGATGAGAAATATACTCAATGGAATTGCTGGGTTTGATAGGACAGAACAAAAAATCTTCTGGAATGGAGTTATATAAGGCTTGATGTTTGGTGGATGCTTTTGTAAATGAAAGAGGAGAGTTGTTCAAAAAATATACTCTTGGGAAAGCACTGCTGTTCTTCAAGGGAGACTAAAATGTTCTGCATAAATCATAGGATTTTTCAAAAAAAATTTACAGGAAAAAAATTAAATCAGTTGATTGCATTTGATTTCCTTGAGTCAGTACAAAATCTTAACGGGATCCAAAAAGTACTAAACATAAAGCAAAAAATACTGATAAATAAAATTACATTGAATTTAATAACTTCTCTTTATCAAACACCAACATTTAAAGAAGAAAAAGGCAAGTCACAGAGTGGAAGGAAATATTTGTAAACCCATACAGAATATATTGGTATACAGGATATGTAAAGAATTCCTACAAATTGGGGTGCCTGGGGGGCTTAGTCGGTTAAGGGTCTGACTTTAGCTCAGGTCATGATCTTGGGGTCCTGGGATCGAGCCCAGCATTGAGTCCACGTGGAGCCCCTTGTCAGGCTCCGTACTCAGTGAGGAGTCTGCTTGTCCCTCCCCCTCTCCCCCTACACAGCTCATGCTCTCTTTCTCTCTCTCTCTCATAAATAAAATTTTTAAGGAAAAAAAAGAATTCCTACAAATTGATTAGAAAAAAGCAGATAACACTATGAAAATGGGCCAAATGCATTATGTTCAAATTAAAGTCATAATGTGATTCCACACATACTCAGCAGAATGATTAAAATGAAAAAGTCAAATAATACCAAGTATGGCAAGGATATTGAGTAAATATAATACTTACACATTACTGTGAGAATGTAAATTGGTATACCAACATTGAAAACTGACTGTATCCACAAACATTTAACATTCATATAACAAATGACCCAGGTGTTCCATTTCTAGGTATATATCTAACAAAAATGTACACATATATACAAAGATACATGTGCAAGAATGCATTGTAACAACTCTAAATTGTAAGCGATCCAAATGTCCACCCAAGTAGAATAGAAAATTGTGGCATATTCATACAATGGAATATTAGAGCAATGAGGATGAATGGACAATTGCATCCGACAATGTGAATGAATTTCATAAACATAATGTTGAGTGAAAGAAGCCAGACACAAAAAAGTATATACTAAATCAAATTATACCAAGTTTAAAAACAGGTTATCTTGGAGGAGGGATACTTAGTGACTGGAAAGGGGCATGAAGAACATTCTGGGTACAAGTTCACAGGTGTGTTCAGTTTGTGAAAACAGATAAAAGGCTAGTAAAATCTAACTATATTTGGTCTCGAATAAGATAAAAATTAAAATGTTTGGGGTGTTTAAAACAAGGTGGAGGGCCTTCTGGAAAGCAGAGTAACAAGCTCTGAAAATTGGCTCCTCCATAAAAGCAACGAGAACACTAGCAAAAATTGTCAAAGTCAATTTTTACAGAACTCTGGAAAATTAACCAAAGGCCTACAATAATGTGAAGGGTACTTATTTAAGAAAA